CAGGACAAGCTTTTCGTCTAGCACAAGCATCTTATATTTACCATATATGGAATAAAAATTCATCTCTTGTCTAGCTTAACATGGGTAAGGTCTAAAACCCCCTCCCCAGTCTCTTGCATCTGTTTCTTCGAGCATAGCAACCTTATTTTGCAGCCTAACTTCCTTAGTAACCATCAGACATCATGCTTGGTGGTAATTTTCCACTACATCAGCTTCTGTGCTCTGATCTCGATTCAGACGTTGGGTCGGCGAGGCTTCTCTGTGCTTTACGCTCCAAAGCTGAATCCATCACTCATTTAACCAGTGACAAATATTTTACACATATATAAGATAAGATAATACACAAGTGGGAAATTTGCATCATCACGGCAGAAAGTGGACAGTACAAGAATAGAGCAGCAAAAATTTAAAACAATAGGATAAAAATATATAGTGGTACCTCAGTTCTCAAACTCATTAGAACTCGAATTTCTTAAAAGTCGAACCAACCAGTTCGAAAAAAAATTACCTAAAACTCGATCTGAATCTCAGTAGTCAAACCGTGAACACCGACCTAAGATAACTTGTACTGTACTCGCGGGGAAATGAGTTATGTGGCACATCTCTCAGCGGAAACAAAGGGTAACGCTTCAGTCTCAGCCTCGGATTTGTTGTGATAGCATCGTGCATGTTTACGCTAGCTGAATACATATATTTAGACAGTAAAAATATATTTAGACAATGACAGACAGTAACAGTAATTATTATATAATAAAAATACATTTAAAAATAAAGATTTCTTATTCATTATTTTAATATTAATAATAAACCATTAATACATTTAATTATAATAATATTGTCGTGCCCAGCGGGGACGGAACGGAGACACAGGGATCCCACATGGGGTTATAACGAGGGGGCGTGGCACACGGAATGAGCGGACGATCACGGCATGACACACTTTTTTTTTTTACTTTACACATTGTTTGGATACATTTATTTTCTTACTTTAAAAATGACTGTTTTGATAAATGTGCTTAGATGTGTTTAGTACAGTATATGCTTTTCTTGTTTTGTCCGGTTTATTTTGTGTTTAAATGCTAAAAAAAATATATTTCAGTGTAATTTTTTGGGGCCAGGAACCAATTAATTGGTTTTCCATTATTTCTTATGGGGAGAATTCGATCAGAACTCGAACTTTTTAGGATTTTTTAGAGTTCTGAGGTACCACTGTGTGTGTGTGTATATATATATATATACTGTATATAGCTAACAACCAAAGTAATACTAAAACCAACACCAATTTGACAAATGTTTTCCAGTGTTTTAGACTAATCTACCCAAAATATGTCCCTCTTTAGATGATCTAAGCCAGTGTTAGCAATACCAGTTCTAGCCAGGTCCAGTGTTAGCCACTGTCAGCAATACCAGTTGATAAGAACTAAAAATCTAGTATTTTGCGCATACAAACACTGTAGCACCACATCCATAGATAGAAGTTGGACAATACAGATGCTCCTCTACTTACGAACAAGATACGTTCTGAACGGTTGTTCGCAACTTGAAATGTTCGTAAGTCGTTTTGCAACATCATTCTAAGGCAGGGGTGGCCAATCTTACCCTCAAAGAGCCGGTGTGTATGCAGGTTTTTGGGATAACCTGTAGGTCAGCTGTTCAAACCCAGGTGTGAGGACTCTTCAGCCAATCACTCCTCTAATTAGTAATCTAATTAGGGAGTTGCAGCGAAAACCCGCATACACACTGGCTCTTTGAGGGTAAGATTGGCCACCCCTGCCTTAGAATGATGTTGCATAACGACTTACGAACATTTCAAGTTGCGAACGGCCGTTCGGAACGTATCTTGTTCGTAAGTAGAGGAGCATCTGTATTGCGTGTAGATACAAAAAAGATACAAATAAGAGAGAAGTGCCAACAAACAGTATATTACTACAGCTTTCCCTTACCATTGATGCGTGGGGCAGTAGAGGCTCGCCCGACTTTCCAGAAGTTCACATGACCTTCATTAAAAGCTCGTAGGCAGCGTTTGTGATGCCCCAAGACAGGAGGGAGCGGTGGTAGTTTAGATGCGCCCCTCTGTATAGGTGGCTCAATTTACCACCCCGCTCGCTGTAGATGGTGCGCAGTACCTGCCATGAGGATTGGAAGGCTCCACCCACCTGCGACTGCTTGCGAGCCTTCACCACATTAAGTGGGTAATACAAGGAGCCCAGCGTGGCTCCCAGAAGGCCGCCAGAGATAAAGTCAGTGACCAGCTGGCCAGCGTGGGTCTCGGCCTTGATGGGTCTGAGGAGCCCGAGGAATAGCGCGTTGCTGGGCCCGTTGCGCAGCAGGACGGGCACTGTGCCGCGGTACAGCTCACGCATACCATTCTCCCGCACCAGGGTCCGGAATGCATGGAAGGTATTGTTATACCGGACGTGGTGCCGCTGGTCCTGGAGGAGCGTCTGGACCCTCTCAAAGGGGGTCAGACTTGCCTCCACCGTGCCTGCCAACACGGCCGCCATGCTGCTGGTCACCAGCCCCGGGGTGCTGCCGGGTCGCGACAGCAGCCGAGACACATCGTTAGAAAATCCAAACATGATGGCCATCGAGGAGGTTTTCTGCAGCAGGGGAGGCAGCAAGCCACGGTACAGGGTTCGCATGCCGTCCCTCTGCAGCTGCCGGACGGCCTCAGTCATGCTCACACCAAACAGCTGCTGCCAGAATAGTACCTTCTGTATTGGGAAGGTGATCATGATGTTCACCATCCCAGCACAGCCGCCGCAGACGTACTGCTTCCTACGCCCGTTTGGTGCCTCGCACTCAGGACTCCCTTGATCTTTCACAGCCATCTCAGTCAAGGGAGACAAATTTTCAGTGCTTTGATACTGCAAAGGAGAGAATTCATAAGAATAAGGGTTTCATGTGTACTCTCATGCTGTACTAGTTAAAAGAAAACTAAATACCAACAGAAGCACAAAAACAACCCTTATGGATTAGGGGTTGTCCCTATTGTCATGTTGTCCTATACCTATACATGATTGCTGCCATTGCTGGAATGCGCACACCTATTCCTGACACGAACTGGGGGGGCACAGCAGCATTTGCAGGCGTAAAGTCACTCGCTTTGTGTGCACTTTAAGTGCTTTAAGAGCACTTTAAGAGCACATTTTCGCCGGCGCTGGCCATCCCACCACCTTACAGAACTGTGTTTGGCGACATGGTCAAAGAGTCAATCCGGTGAGAATTGTAATCAGAAGCGATCATCTCCGGAGACAGTATTCTTCCCATTAATTTGACATAGCGCCGTTGCAACACAGCGAGGTCCCGCAAAAGAGTTTGAGCGATACTTTATAAACCTCTCGATTTACAGTAATAGTCATCTATTGAAGTGTGCTTTGATCCGTGGACTACAGGGAACAATGCGCAGCCCTTGGAATTTCACATAATTTTTGTCTTTATTAGTTATTAATTATTATATTGCATCCACATAAAGTGCAATGGGGCAACACGTACACTAAGGGGTTAATAGCTCTGAACCCAAATGAGACAGCCATGTCCTATGAAGTGTGCCTTGATCAGTATGGGAGGTATTTTCTGCAAAAAATAAAATGAAAATGATAAAAAGAAAATACAATCTCCACTTTGCCATTATCAGGGTGCGGGGCAAGCGAGCCGGAAAGCAAGCGAGATCAGCCAGAGATACGGGTACACGAGGTTTAATTGCAAAGGAAGGAGAGACAGGCATGGACATTAACGAACAAATACATAACAATACATGACACTACAATGACGGATCTGGGGGAAGACAGACTGAGACTCGGACTAAATACAAAAGACTATCCAGAAATAACAGGACACAGGTGATCACAACCAGGAATTGACACGAGGTAATGAGGGGGCGTGGCACACACAAGGATCGTACGTAGCCGGGCATGACAGAACCCCCCTCCAAAGGCGCGCGCCCGAGGGGAGGCGACGGACGAGACGAGACCGGGGAACAGGACCTGGAAGACAAAAGCAAAACATTAACGAGACACTGGAAACAGGACAGAGACACAGAACAGGAACAAGGACCAACAGAAAGACAGGACCCGAAAAAAGAACAGGAAACGCAGACAGGCAGACAGAGAAGGAAGACACAGAGGGGACACCCACAGGTGACACGAAGGGGCCAGGAGTGAACAGAGGAGGAACAGAAGGACAAGGAGCAGAGACAGGCGGGACGAAAGGAGGAGGAGCAGACAGGGGAGACCAGACAGGAACGGAAGGGGCACAAAAGGGAGCCCGAGGGAGCCCAGGTGGGCGACGGGCAGCGGCGGGAGGGGCCGCAGGCAAGAGGGAGCAGGAGGGGACCACACAGGGACCGAGGGAACGAGACGAGGGAGAGACGGAGGGGACACGGAGGGAACAGGAGGGAACACCGACGAAAGCAGGCAGGAGGGGGAAGCCGCGGCAGGCGACGGCACAGCCTGAGCCGGCGAAGGCGCCGTCCGACGCCCCGCCGAAGCAGTGGGGCCCGGAGACGACCGACATGGCGCCGGAGGCGGGACCGAGGACCGGCACTGAGGCACCGGGGGGGGACCCGGAGGGGACCGCCGACCCAGAGCCGGAGGACCCGCAGGCAGCCACCGAGCGACAGCCAGGGACCGAACGGGCGAGCCAGGGGGCAGGGCGGTCGTGATCCGGGCCCGACGCCTGTGTCCCTGTCCCTTGCGGGACACTGAAAGGTGGGGTCCCGGGGGGTGTCGGCCTTGTCGGGGCAAGGACGAGGGAGTCATTAGGGCTGGGGGAGCTAGAGGCAGGGCCTCTGGTGAGGCAGCAGGTGCGGCCGCAGGCGGTGCAGCCGGAGCCGCGGGCGCGGCCGCAGGCGGTGCAGCCAGAGCCGCGAGCTGGACGGGAGAGCCGGGAAGGACGGGAGAGGCGGCCTCAGGCAGGGCCGCGGGCTGGACGGGAGAGGCGGCCTCAGGCAAGGCCGCGGGCAGGACGAGTGAGGCGGCCTCAGGCAGGGCCGCAGGCGTGTGGCCAGCAGGGGGCGCTTCGGCAGACGCTTTGAGCGTGCGGCCAGTAGGGGGCGCCTTGGCAGGCACCACAGTCATGTGGCCCGCAGGGGGCGCCTCGGAGGGTGCTTTGGGCGTGCGGTCAGCAGGGGGTGCCACAGGCAGAGCGGCTTCCTCCGCTGCTGGCGGAGGCAAAGCCAGGCCCTCGGGTGGAGCTGCAGCGGGCACCCTCAGTTCCTGGCCAGCAGGGGGTGCCCCGGCGGGCGCCGCCATCACGTGGCCAGTAGTGGGTGCCGCGACGGGTGCCGCCATCACGCGGCCAGCAGGGGGCGCAACCGCAGCCACCTCGGACAGTGCCGCAGGCAGAGCGGTGGCAGCTGCAGGGACTGCAGGCAGGACAGGCAGAGCCGCGGGCAGAGCGGCGGCAGCAGCAGGCGTTGCCACGGGCAGTGCGGCGGCAGCAGCAGGCGTTGCCGCGGGCAGGTCCGGAGCAGGCAGGTCTGGCACGGGCATCAGGAGGGGCGCCGAGCGACTAGGCGCTGCCCCTTTAAGGGCTCTCGAGACCCGGGGAATAGCGTCCCTAACTGGGCTGATCCACTTACCGGCTAGGCACGCCGGCCGGTAAGGGTACGCCTCCATTGGAGGCGGCATCTCCCCGGTGAGGCTGGTCGGGCGGGCAGCGGTGGTGTCCACCCAGGTGAG